CACCACCAAGGCTCCCTTATGGAGCTAAAGAGGAACCCGATTAACTATTTACATAGTTCTTTATAATGCACAACATAAATACGGTAATAATTCCAAAAGACAGCCCTGAATATTGCATAATTCTTCAAATTAGTCATGCAAAGTAAATTATAATTTTATTACAGTGTTTGTTTTGCTTTCCATTTCTCTCCCTTTCCTCCTAAGGCTTTTTTTTCCCCCTTTACCTCATTACTTTTAAGAAAAAACAATTTTAAGATAAAATCTTAACGCCTATTTAAAGATAACACTAGTTAAAATGTTCTAGAAAATATATTTTAAACAGTAAAAGCGTAACACAAATATAAGGAATTATCTTGAAAATGCCCTAGCTGTACTTTAAATCTTTTGAAGCATTGGACTTATATAAGGTCCTGCTTCACCAAAAATAATATTTTTTCTGAGATTTGGTATTATGTGTTAGATTTTTATCAAAGTTTATGGGGTATAGCTAATGACCAGTTCCTATAATGCTAAGGATAAAAACTTAAATGTGTTCATTGAAAGTCACTGAAAACCAGTATATTTTCTGTTATAGATAAAACAAACCTATCTTGACATTATAATAAAGGTTTCATGCTTCTGTCCCCCAAAATGACTGATTTGTCCTTCAGGAATTAAATGTGGTACATGTTATTTGGCATTTATTACTCTCACATGAACAACATGGATACAGCTTAATACATTTTTTTTTTTTTTTAGCTTGAACAAATTTACTTGACATTATAATTTCTGATACACTTTTTGGTCAGATTTGCTTCTGATAAAATGCTTCCAGTTTCATCATATAAAAAAAGGGTTTAAATCATTTCTTTTCCAGGAAAAATTCTGAAACTTTCTCTTAAGTAATGCCATACATAAAAAACAGAGGGAGAGAGGGAGGAAGGGAGACAGAGATGTATATTAATATTATGCCCTAGTTCTTAAAGCAACAAGTTATCTATCATTTCTAATTGATAATCATGCATTATTTTCTCTTTTCCATGTTAGCCATGATTTTACTTGACAAATGCAATGCTAACTGCTCTTGAATTAAACGATAAAAATAGCAGGTTCCTAATGCTGAGAACAAGTTACAAAGTAGGTGCTAAGTGAGCTTGTGTTTACTGAATAAATGAATGAATACAAACATTAATATAATGACTATAAATACAATTCATTGTCATTAAAAACGGATGAGTTTATTGCTTAGGGAAACGTTAGTTTTTTTTTCTATTTTGTGTCCAATAATTCTTATTCTAATAATGTGTTAGGACAGCTTAAGAAGCTATATTAGTCCTTCAAGTGGAAAATCAATTTTAAAATGAAATTTGAACCCAGAACAGTGTCAACCACAGAATATATTTGGAAAGAGGAAAAACAGAAAAGATGTTTGATGGTTTCCTATCGTGAAGTCATTATAACTTTGCACACAAAAAGTTAGAACGTATTCTGAGACAGTTTCTAATTTTGAGAATTGTCATCAAGTTGATTTCAACTCATAGCGTCCCTATAGGACAGAGAACTGCTCCATAGGGTTTCTAAGGAGGAACTGGTGGATTTGAATTGCCAACATTTTGGTTAGCAGCCATAGCTCTTAACCACTACAGCACCAGGGCTCCTTGAGGATTATAGACACTCAGATTTTTCCTCTTTGGAAGGAAACTAACCCAAATTGATAAGATTCTATTTTGTTTTACAGAATTTTAGAAGGCATGTCTACTTCAATAATACTGTATTCTAAAGTAGTATCGACTCTCATTATCGTATACTTTCTTTTTTCCTTCTAAATTTTATTTTGTTATTGTTACTGAGAATATACACAGAACAATATACACCAATTCAACAGTTTCTACATGTACAATATAGTGACATTGATTACATTGAGTTGTGCAACCATTCTCACCCACTTTTTCTGAGTTGTTCCTTCCTCATTAACATAAACTCACTACCCCCTAAAATTCCTATCTAATCTTTTGAGTTGCTGTTGTCAATTTGATCCCATACAGATGGTTCTTAAAAGAGCACAATACTCAAGGCAGACATTATTTTACTAGTTAAGCTAAACTACTGTTTGGTTTTAAGATGACTTCAGAGGATATTTTTGGTTTAAGGTTTAAAGATTATCTCAGGGCAATAATTTTAGGCGCTCATTCACCCTCTATGGCTCCAGAAAGTCTAGAGTCCATGAGAATTTGAAATTCTGTTCCGCATTTTCCCCTTTTGATCAGGATTCTTCTATGGAGTCTTTAATCAAAATGTTCAGCAATGGTAGCCAGGCACCATCCAGTCTTTCTGGTCTCAAGGCAAAAGAGGCAATTGTTCATGAAGGCAATTAGAATATGTTAAGAACTCCTGTGGGTTCCTTCAAGCAAGTTATTTTTCCTGTTTTTACTGTCAGTTTAATCAGAATGTCTTTAAATCTTGCTGTATTTCGACACTCTATTAAGCCTTTATCGCCAGGCAAAAGTGTAACGGTAAGTAAATTATTGGTATTATTCAATTCTAAAATGCAGAGGGAGGTTCAGTATCCCAAAGAAAGTTCAACTTTTAAAGAATGTTTTTCAATCTCACAAGACTACTAAGTTAGAGAGATTCAAGTTCTGACAAACTGTTAACTTGATAGACTCTATTCTATTGTTCCTTTATGCTATAGCAATTATATTTTAGTTACCAGAGTTTCATCACTTAATAGGTTAGAGGATACCATAGTTGTATGCAAATAACATGCAACCTCTGTGTTTGCTGGGTGTGCCCTCCTCCCCACGAGGCACCCTCACAAGCACCACCATGCCAATCCTCTTCCACATGTTGCTCTAAAAAAATTGGCATGGCACACTTATGAAAATACCTAGTGGGGGCATTTAGGAGGGAGGGCGAAGCCAGTAAACAAAAGGAGAATGCATGCATTATTCGCATAAAAATACGGTATTATTGAATTGGTTTAAGAACACTAAAATAGAATTGAAAGAGTACAGCTTTAAATTTTAATTCCTGCTTGAACGTTTGTGCAATTAGACAAAAGTTTTACTGAGTTATACATCAACTTATTCTGGGAGAACTTTGTCTTAGTTTTAAATCCTCTAGGAAAATCAGTTAATGAGGTATATTAAACAGGTAAAAACTAATGTCCTTTGTTTCTTAATGGTATTGTGATTCTTGTACTAATACTAATTTATAATGTTAAATCCTAATCACAGGCTGATCAGAGCCAATGTTTATTCCTTTTTTGGAAAAAAACAAAACAAAACTATTGTGTGCAGATTTCCAAATGTAATTAATCTTATGTAAACATTCTTCCTGTAGAGTGCAGTGTTCTTAAAAGACAAAAGCCACTCATTTCTTCTTAACATTTGATACCAGTACCAGCTGACATCTAGTCAAGTCCTACTCATGGTGACCCTATGTGTGCAGAGTAGAACTGCACTTTATAGTGTTTTCAAGGTTATGACCTTCTGGAAGCATACTGTCAGGGCTTTCCCTCAAGACACCTCCGGGTATATTTGAACTGCCAACCTTTTTGTTAGTAGCTGAGCACATAACTATTTGTGCCACTCGTATAAAATCCCTACTCATTTATGAAAACTGAGACTTGCATACTGTACTTGTACCCATTGCCATCAAGTCAATTCAGACTCATAGCGACTCTATAGGACAGAGTAGAACTGTCCCATAGGGTTTCCAAGGAGCAGCTGGTGGCTTTGAACTGTCGACCTTTTGAATAGCAGCCATTGCTCAGTGTAGCTCTTAGCCACTGCACCACCAGGGCTCCCAAACAGTTTTCCCACATCCTCGGCAACATCTCATTATCATATTCTTTCTTACATGTGACTATATTCATCTCATGTGGTGATGTTTACCCTTGTAGTCTTTTGATTTTCTATGTACTTGTAAATGGATTCTAGTTTCTTTACCCTTCTTTAATCATCATATGTTAATACTCTAGTGTTCATTTCATATGATATTACTGGAAAGCAACTTACCAGTGAATAGGAGCTAAATTTCTGAAACAAACAAGTGAATCCCGCCTAAAAGCCACTAGATATCTCTTTGACAAACAAATGGAAATACTTATCTTCCTTGACTGATTAAATAAATAGTTTCCCTGCTATTTGGGGATCTCACTTTATAGTGGTTTAAGTAAGTTTAATTACTTTATGCTGCTTTTTTAATAACTAAGTTCCTTTAAAAAAGGTTCAATACTTGGTCGCACTTTATTGTTGTTAATTATATCTTTTTATACGTACTCTAAATATATTATATCTAATTATATCATTTATTAAACAAATATGCAAATTCTATTTTTTTTTACATATTATTTGCCTTGTGTACTTATTCAGGGAAATTAAGATACACAAGAAGGCTGAAGAGAATAAATATTCATGGAGATTTTTCCAATAACTATATAAAAGAATAAAACCTTCAAATGTATATATTTATTTTTTAAACAAAGCACTCATTTCCTTTTTGAAGAAATAAATTGATAAGCAAAATTAAATTTGTAAGATACAATTGCCACAGTTATTATACTCATTTATAAGTGCCTATTTATTTGTCTGGTGTGACTGTAACTCCTCAAAACTACAAACTCTTTTCTTCTTAATTTAACTCTCAGCCAGAATGTGCCTGGTACATTACATCACTTTAACCTAGAAATGAAAAATAGTTCTGAATATAGCTAACATATTATTTGGCCTGGGTTTTCTAAATAAGTGCATCAAATCCCCTTTTCATTTCATATGAAGTCTCCTCATGTACATGATGCACAAGAAATGGGTTAAGGATTTAAAGACAAATAATAAAAAGAAGCAGGAAATACAGACTGAAAATAAGAGCTGTCCATTTAATGTTCCCCTTAATCTTAAATCATAATGAATAAAGCTAAGTTTATATGAGGTTTGTTGGTGTCAAACAGATTACAATACTAAAATTGTACCATGATATGACATGGAATGTGTATTACATACAGATCTAGAATGATATACCTTTGTTGTTATCCATTCCTCCTACAGCATACAGAGTTCCAACTGTAGATTTTCTAGGTTTAGTTCTTGGACTTTGCATTAAAGTTCTTCTTTCTGGCAATAGATGGTATTTCATTGCCTCCAGAATCAGCTTTTGACATTCCAGATCATTCTTAAATAGCGCATGGTTTTCTAGGTCAGCCAATATCTGTAAATAATATACAATCACTGTTAATAATAAAGGACTGTGCATATGGTATCAGCAGTTAAAATTAGAAACTGAATGCCAGTGATATTACTCCATACCAAGAGAGAGACAGAATGTAACATGAATTCATTACATTGACAAATAAATATGATTAAAATTCATGGCTTCCAAAGAAATAGAATGGGAATTCTTTTTGATTCAATATCATTTGGTGTCTTAGTTATCTAGTGCTGCTATAACAAATACCACAAGTGGATGACTTTAACAAACAGAAGTTTATTCTCTCACAGTCTAGTAGGCTAGCAATCCGAATTCAGGGTGCCAGCTCCAGGGAAAGGCTTTCTCTCAGTGGGCTCTGGGAGAAGGTCCTTGTCCTCAATCTTCCCCTGGTCTAGGAGGTTCTCAGTGCAGAGACCTGGAGTCTAAAGGAAGCGTTCTCCTCCTGTCACTACTTTCTTGGCAGTGTGAGGTCCCCCTTCTCTCTGCTCACTTATCTTTTTTATATCGCAAAAGAGATTGATTTAAGATATAACCTAACCTTATAGATTGAGTCCTGCCTCATTAACATAACTGCCTCTAATCTTGACTCATTAACATCATAGAGGACGGATTTACAACACATAGGAAAATCACACCAGATGACAAAATGGTGGACAATCACACAATACTGGGAAGCATGGGCTAGCCAAGTTGACACATATTTTGGGGGGACACAATTCAAACCATAACATTTGGTATCATTTTACTACACAGAGCTTAAAGAGACTTCTAGCATCACTTTTTCCCTTCCATTTCCTCTTAAGAAGACTGTTTGTAAATCATGTATAATTGTCTGTGTTGGATATGAACATGTCTGATCAAGGAAACTGAAAAACAGCCTTCAACACATTAGGTCATAACAAGCCTATCCTAAGTATGTATATATTTAATTTAAGATGTTCCACGTAAAATTTCAACCACTTTCAAATTCAAGAAACTCAAGGAAAATGAAAAACACTTGTCTTTCTAACATTTCTTTAATGATATAAGCATTTATAAAGCTTTATATCAGGTGAAGTATATTTTCAATAGTGGAAACTAAGAAATTATATACAAAAAATCCAGCACTGGAGGGAATATGACAGTGTGACAGAAGTTGTAGGCTGTATCACATCTCTCTCTTTTTTTTTGTGCTACACCAGGTTTATGTCCCCCACTCCTCTGTCAGTTGGTCAGACTATGGGGGCTTGCGTGTTGCTGTGATGCTGGAGGCTGTGCAGCAGTATTCAAAATACTACAGCCAGAATGCTCCTTAGAAGCGAGGATGGTGAGACTTCATCTCACATATTTTGGACATGCTATCAGGAGGGATCAGTCCCTGGAGAAGGACATCATGCCTGCTAAAGTAGAGGGTCAGGGAAAAAGACGAAGACCCTGAACGAGATGGATTGACACAGTGGCTGCAACAATGGGCTCAAGCATAACAACTGTCATGACGATGACACAGGACCAGGCAGTGTTTCATTCTGTTGTACATAGGGCTGCTACGAGTCGGAACCAACTTGGGGGCACCTAACAACAACAGGTTTAAGTCTCTTTAAATTCCTCTGTGTACATTTCTTTGAACACATCCAAAATATCTTTTATTTTTGTCTTTCTCAGTCCCTCTTTGTGTTCCATTTTTCTTTTATTCTTCAGTCTTGCTTTCTGTTTTTTAATGGAACCCATTTCATTTTCAGTGGCAGTTAAATCTGTTGCATAGATTTAGGAAAGTAATAAGTACAAAATTTAACATTGACTCATTAATCTTTTAATCTACATTAGTGCAAAAATATACTACATCTGCACACACAAGTTTATTGAATGAATAAATTAATATATAATAGCAGTATGTAATTAAGTAATTAATTTTAATACTATAATTTTTAATCGTAAATAAATGTATTTAGTCACTCTAATACATAAATTACTGGAAGAGGATCATGAAGAACATAAAAAGACATCAAACATTCATATATAACATGTGCGAAAGATAACACAAGAGCTCTAAGGCTGATAAGCAGTCTAGTATATTAGTTACCAGATGACTTGGAATTATAAAAGTGAGGATCTTTAATTAAATTCTTGGCTATGTTCCCTTTCTTGTATAATATAACCTTACCTGTGTTCCCACTATCCACTTTAATCCTGAACACTAAATAAGATAAGTAAATGAATAAAAACATAAATGGTATGGAATAGAACAGGGAATCTCCAATGAGAATTTTTAAAAGGACTACCATTTTACTCTTTCAGTAAAAAGTTTGTTTTTAATCACCAAATAGAACACCTATTTCTTACAAGACCTCAGTGGTCTTTATAAACTAAAAAAGAGATATCTTTTAACATCTGTGTAAGCGTAAAAGTGTTCCCTTTTCTTATGTAGAAAAATAAATTAGGTTTTATGGAGATAAATTTATATATGTCTGAAGCTGGCTCTTTCTCAATTCTATTTTTTCACCACCCTCCATCCCTCCCTTATTTTTTTACTGCTCTTGAAAAAATTTAGGGATTAGTTGATTATTGTATTAAAAAAAATAGTGTTCTCTCATTAGGCATACACGAAAGAAATGTCATATCCCGATTAACAGTTAAAATATTCCAAATAAAAGAGAAAAAGAAAAAAATCAAAATATGCATCCCTCTTTTCTACGTTTTTCTTTGCCAAACTATAATTCAGCCAAAAACAGCTTAACTATGATTTTGGATATTGTCTTAGGTTTTAGATAAGTAGGTTCATGGCATGTATTCAAAGGTCTTTAAAATGTTGCCATATGAATACAGAGGGTCATTTATATCAAAACGGTTTACATACTATTCTTCATATTTAGACAAATCTTTGGACCAATTAGAGTGGTTTGTTTTTAGTTTCAATGAACTGTACGCTTTCTTGATTCATCACCATGTTAAAATAATGTTAGCACAGTACTCTAGTGAATACATGAGTTGGGTTTAATTTCTCATACTTTAAACTTTGCATTAGTGGTAGGGGTCTAGTAAGTTATCATTTACTTCATAAACTATTGAGTAGATCCTGGACTCATGGAGACCTCATGTATTCAGATTACCAAAATATAAGTTTGTTTAATTAAATACAATTGCAACAAGTGATATCTTCTAAAGGTGTTGAATTTTTTGAATTCTTGTAGTGCTATAAATCATAAAAGAATGTGTTCACTTACGTTATAATTTTTATTTCTTTGGACAACTTTAAAAGAATAGATAAACATTACATTGAATTAAGTAATGGTAACTCTTGTATACCTTTTTCAGTTTCTAAGAAAAACTTATGAATCTTGGTCACTGAAATAGTTCTAAATTTTCCTGGTTCTTTATTTACACAAAAATGGCAGTAGATAAACAGCATGTACAAAATGTTTTAAATTAGATTTTGCGATTAAATTTCTTAAAATGAAATATGCGTGCCCTTGGTTGGGAGTGGGCGAGATGAATAAGATAGGTCTTGTTTTTCTGCTTTCTGGTTAAGAGTTCAGCTGCTAACTAAAATGATGGCAGTTGAATCCACCAGCTGCCCCTTGGAAACCCTACGGGGCAGTTCTACTCTGTCCCTTAGGGTCGCTATGCATCTCAATTGACGCGACGGCAACGGATGTTTGGTTTTGAAAAACAAAGTTGGTTACTTTGGTTAAAGAGTGCAATTAATACAAAAGATTATAGAGAAGTATGAATAGGCATGCAAGGCAATAAATATTGTTTATCTGTTTGTTTTTTAAAGGGATTATTAAAGTTTATCATAAATCAATATACACTGATGATAAAGCTACAAATTAGAATGTTTTCTAAGGATACAAGATACCAATACTTCTGACAATTGCAGACAGACAACCTATACTTACGGTATAAGTAAAATCCCTTGGAATTCCCCAGTATCATCACTGTTTATATGTTTCTACTTCTAGAATGACACAAATATGGAGCTGACTTGATGACAACTAACAACAAAAACAAATATCACCCCTCCTAGAATAATCATTGACTACATTCTTATAAATCGATTGTTTATTAAATGTCAAGAAAGGATGCCACTGTTTACAATCTAATAATGTTTAAGAATATTTCCTCTTATAGGAAAGCCGTCAGAGGGAAAAGAAAGAATAGAAAAGATCTTGAGCCTCAATATAAAGGACACAGTGAGGGGAAGTTAACAATTAAAATTACATAAAATTCTAGGGTGTTGATCCTTGCATCTGTGTGTTTCAATTAAGGAGAAAATAAGTCATCTGTAAATTATTGGAAATCTGTCCTAGCCATAAACCTGAAGACAAGAATTCTGCCTAAGTAGATAGGCTTCTGGAAGAGACAGCCAGAACTCAAGGCCTTTTGATCAAATAGGGGAATGCATGCATGACACAGATAGCTTCTACCTAACAGTGCCATACGATTATTTTCAGATACCCAGAGGCTCATTGAGATGCTTTAATCTACATGTTTCTACTATTTTCCTAGATATTTTCTTCCCCTTTTGCTATCTTTTAACTATAATACCTATAAATTCTTTAATCTTACTAATGCTTTTTTGTGTCCTTAGTGGCCCATTTAAGATTTTAATATCTAACTACAATTTGCCCATAATTTGGCTAAAACCTACAAACTACCTTTGGATGCAATGGTACTTCATGTGGATAGTTCCTTATAATAACTTGTTAGTTTTTGGGTATTTATTCATGAATTTTGCTCCTGCTATTAAATCATCTCTTGGTGGGTATATCATTATGTACATACATCATTATCTATAAGTGCGTGTTTGTATTTATGAACCACAGTCATGCTGCCTGTTTTTAAAGCACTCTTTAAAAGCCAGGCATCAAGACTGCCTGAGAACTAACACCTTCAAAGGTTTTGACTTACATACAAATGTATTCTATAACATTTTACATGCTAAAAATAAAATGTCAAAAACAAACACATTGTTGTTCAACATATGAAATGCTATGAAAAAGAAAGAAAGAAAGGGGGGGAGG